TTTAACTGTTTAATCTTTTACTGGGAAAAACAAGGTGTTACGTACCGAAGGATTGAAAGTTTTGAAAAGCATGAAAATATGTCGACGGGTTGAATCCTAGTTGCAAAAATAACCCTTGTTCAAAAAGGCTCGAAGCAAAATCACTACCAATATCTTGATCACAGTAAATGTGAACACAACGAACTGTACACTTACATTGTTCTATATATTAATACGCATATCATCATCACTATAAGAAAGACAGTAGCTGTAACTAGGGTATATAAGGCACTGTTATACTTGTAATTTCATCCATTCCTGAACATAACTAAAATATAGTCGAATAAAACGTAGAAAAATAAAAATGCTTTCATTTCTTTAAATTATTTCATCACATGCAAGGTGTATAACAAATTTGCCATGTTATTGTGCTTTAAGTATTGGGCATGTATAGACTTAATTTTCCCATCCTAAAGATTAGGCTTTAACTATACAGGGTGTATAAAAAAACTGTCGTTCCATGATAATTGCAAACGCGTTTGGCTGAGTGTTGAAATTATTCTCTGAAAGAATACTCAAAATTCAAAAGAACAACAAGCATAACATAGCGCGGTCAAAAGAATACTCAAATAATCAAAATAAGAATAAGGTAGTCTTGGCGATTAAATTTAAAGATAATAATTTAATTCGCGATTAGACAACGAAATTTTGTGGATAAAACATTTTACGAATTAGTATATATTAAAGTTTCTCTCATATACGGCGACCTCCATTTGGGCAAATGTTTGAAAATTCTGAGAATATTTTGCGGCAGCAGAGATAGAAAAATTTGTTTCCAACAGTCGAACATGTATATATCGACCATCTGCTCGCTATCTCGGAGCATTGGTCGAAACATTTATTTAGAAAGTAGTATAATGTATAATTACTTTCTTATTGTGAGTTGGTTTAGAATAACATAGAGACTTATAGTTTTTAATGTAAATATCGAAAGCGAGACGTGAGCGTGAGACGTGAGCTTTTTATTTCGTAATTAATGACTCGACGAAACGTGCTTTTTCACATGGACCACTTGAACTTTCAAAACAAACTTTCATTTACATGTCTCACCATCGCATCTGTTCTCAAGTTGTTTTCGAAAAGGCAAAACTGCAATTGCAATTGAAACTAATAATATATGTTGAACGAGAACTATAGATAATCATGCACTTTAAACAACTTTAAAGTATCGTATTTTTATACACTACGACTAGCAAAAAAACAAATTACTAAAATTAAAAAAATAATAATAAAAATGAATAAAGCTTTTAGAATTGCACGTTTGAAATTCATACAATAATAATAAGAAAATTTCGAGTGTAAATTTTATACATTTATTAAGATCCAACCAGGAGCAGTTGTGAAAAATGCAACTATATATAGACCCTCTGGCAAGAATCAAACCTGTGGTCCTGTGATTCCAGTGCAGCGCTCTAACCAACTGAGCTACAGACTACAGAGTCCACCTGGATAGTTCATCATCAATGTATAAAATTTATACTGGAAATTTCCATCTACAAAATCCTTCAACATTATTCTTCAATCAACTGAGATGCCCAAAAATCATAATAATATGATCCGCCCATGCCCCACACTTTTCTTCAGGATCTATTTTGTAATTCTTTCAGCACTGAGGAGAAACTGGGGGGAGAAGGGTGTAATCTCTTAATGTTTTCATCTATGATATAAAATATACCAAACCTGTGGGATTACCATAAAACGTGTCTAAAATGCATGAAAATCCTAAAACTTTCGGGAGACTATCTCCCCTCCCTCCCACACGTTTGGGGCTGGCTATGCCCCTGTCCCCCACAATTACAGACGCTCCCCCATCACTTATAAAGATATAAATAATTTGGTCTGTGGACGTGCAATTGATCAGCATAATACTTCATGTAGAAGGTCTTTTGAAATTTGAAAACGGTGAAAATGACAGTCCACATATTAATGCTTGGATTGGCTTTAGTTTGGCGTAGTATATAAAAAGTCTTATGCTAAAGTTATGTGAAGTACACATAACTCGAGAGCAGGGCGAGACATTTGTTTTGAGGGGACAGATGGCCCAAGCTAACAGCACGTTTCGTCTTATTGCCGAGTTAAGCAAATTATAAGATGAGGCTGACAACCAGGCTAAACCTATACTTATTTAAAGAAATAAACTTCAGATCTAAACTTTTTTCCCCTACACGCGTAAAAACGCTCAGGGTGATGCAATATTGATGAAAACAGGATTGAACAATGTTTTGCTGCCCACATTGTTCATAGCTGTCAACAATACTGAACAATATTGTTACACCCGATTCAGGCTCAACAATATTATTCGCCGAAGAGTCCGAAGGCGAGGTGATTATCCGAGAATATTCGCCGGGACAAAGTCGAGGTGAATATTCCCCGATAATCGCCGAGCCTGAGGCGAATAATTGTTTTTAGTATTTTCCGCAAGTCTTTTTTGTTTTTTGGGACTGAATTTGTTATATTTTGTTATATTGTATTTTTTTTAGATTTGTTATAAATTATTTTGTTATCATTATTCACCTGCAGGTGAATAAAACAGCTTCGAACACTCATTAATAATTCATAAGCTTATTGGTAAATCATGTCAACCATAATATGTCACGTGCAGTGGCTTTAAACCTGATAAAAATACTCCTAATTAGTATTCTTTATATAAAGAATACTAATAATTAGGCAGTATCTATTTGTGTCTTCATTAGTATTCTTTATATAAAGAATACTAATAGACATTATATCTATTGAATTTGTAGTCGTGTTTGAAGCTTATGATTTTTCTTTGTGTTTTCTTCATGAATTATTAATGAGTTTTTTAATATGTCTAAAGCCACTCGCGCTGCGCGCTCGTGTCTTTAAACATAATAAAACACTTCTGCTCGTTTATTAAACAGTACTTAATACGTCAAATTTGACCAATCAACTTGCAGGACTTGTCATATTCAGCTGTGCAAAAATACTAAACAGTTATATCAACACTCGAAATTTGTTCAAAACACTCCGGCCGACAATTTCTCGTTTCCCCAATTTCCACTCGTGTTGATATAACTGTATATCAACACGGCAAATGTTTTATATTTACTATATAAATATAACTTCTCATTAAATTCTGGGGCTGGTTGTATAAAAAGGTGATTTTTGAGAGTTAATCACTATTCGCGTCGCAATCGTAGGTCATTAATTTTATATAATACCATATTGAATTCTGATCATTTAATTGGCTGTTTATGGTTACGTGATATTGAATAGAAAATTCCATTTCCCATGAGTGCAATGGAATACGTGCTATTGCACTCTTTGCGAGTGCAATTGTACCATAAATTTTATTCCATTGCACTCTTTGGCATGTTTTTGATAAATCGCATCCATCAAAATGCTTTTCGTACGGTGATCGCAGTTTATTTTAACCCATATTCGAAACTCAGTAAATTGGATTTAATGGAACATTCCATCTTTCACCGATTGAAAATATTCTTAATTACCATTGCACGAATAAACTTTCATTATTTGTATAATAGTTTTCATACTGAGACCAATAGAACTAAATTCATATACATAACTCGTGCGAAGCAAACTGGCGGGTGTAAAAATACGATATTTTTACGATATTTTTTTGCGACAAATGACCGCCATTATGATATTAATTCTTCACTATCAAACATTTTTTGGCACTCTTTTGTCGAACTATTTTGAACAAGTATTCAGTATCTTCGTGTCATATCAAGCGAATAATGTCAATGAATATTTTCATTAATTGGTGCAAAGTAAAAGTATTTTCATTCAGTGAAAGATGGACTGATGAAAATATTTTTACCATTGGCATTGCACTCATAAATATTCATTATTCATGTACAACTTAGTATAGTGCCAGAGGAGGAGTGGTTACTATGCCGTGATGCATTGCGATTATTCCAAATAATTATATATTATTGATTTTCCACGAGCGGGCGCTCATTGTTCGCTTGACTTTCACTATCAAAACAACAAGAGTGAGATTATATGGCGGATTTTGTAAAGCCGACCACCGCCATAAAGCTTCAGTTTTGGAAGGACACGATCTTCTTTTTGTTCATTGTGTATCGTCAGAGCCTACGCTGTTGGTTCCCATGGGTTATCGTGTGTTCAGTTTTGAATGCCTTGAGATTCACATCAGTTTTCTGGATAATTTGCATATCAGAAGAATCGCTATTTTAATTGTCTATTTGTCTCTAAAAGTTGATGAAACATTCGCCGATTGCAATAGCCCAGCATTGATAGAGATACATTCCAGTTGTGCTTTTAGGGTAAGTCGTTTGCTTTAATCGTTAAAGCGAATACAAAGGCAATGTACCTACACAATGCTTTTTTTATGATTCAGATTTTTATAGCCAATGTTGGTAACAATATGTCAATATTTGTGCTTTCCATTTTGAATATAAGCATATATAGAGCTAAAATAGTTTAAGTTAGAGAAGCTTAGACTGTTCATTTGGTTTGATCATAGAGGTTTGATTACTTTGGTATTTTATTACTATTAAAGTAATTTATTTTATTATCCATTGAATTGCATGAGTCACATTAATTGCACCATTTATTATTTTACTCTGTCTCATGCCAGATTGTTTTACTCTGTCTAATGGCAGCTGGCCTATCTGCCCATGTGTCTAGTTAACCCATTGAGTCACACTGTCCCCGCATGTGCCCTACTTTAATATTGTACTTTGTTAAACTGAATATTGTTTTCATATGTTGCAGTTCTCTGACCTCAGTGATCTCGGGCAAGATGGAACAGGACAATCTTTTATCTTTGAGAATGTTGTTTTGTGGGATTTCAATATTCTGCCATCCCCACCTTCTCAAACAATTCAACCTCGAGATCCAGATACTGTTAATGAAGAGTTGGACAGTGTGCTGTCACCAATAAATTTACAAGGGCAAACTGGATGTAACTGTGATCTACAACCAATAAATTTACAAGGGCAAACTGGATGTAACTGTGATCTACAACCAATAAATTATGTGTGCTTGGTGGATATTACTCCACAGTACAGCATTGTTGATTGTGAAAAGTGGACCATGGGACAGAGATGACCCAAGAAACAATTATAACAGTGACATAGATTACTAGAATATTTTTAAATTATTTTATTTATTATGGATTCCAACATATTTAATTTATTATGGATCCCTACATTGTAAATTGATGTTTGTGATGTTATTCTGAGTGTGCATGCACATCGGGCAAGCTGAAAAGTTTGCCTGACCACGGTGGGAATCGAACCTGCGATCTTTGGGATATTAGTCCACACTCAGAGTAACATCACAAACATCATATTCACCTGAGTACATAACACCAACACACACAAGAAGTATATTGTAAATTTATTTTATTTTATTTTATTTTATTATGGATCCCTACATATTTTATTATGGATCCCTACGATTATAGCAGTGACATAGATTACTTGGATATTGTAAATTGTTGTTATTATATTTTATTATGGACAAAATTTTTCCATAACAGTAGTATAGGAACTGGCGTGTCTAGACCACTAGTTTTTTTCTAGATCCCACCAGTTTTTTTCTTTGGTAAAAATTAATCATTTATTTTTATTATATTAAAATTAATCATTTGTTTTTATTATATTAATCATTTTTGATTTTGAATTTTGTTTTGATTTTGAATTAGTTTTGATTTTGAATTTGTTTCTATTTTTTTAATTCCCTAGTTCCGATTAATTCTAGTGTTTCTCTTTTTTGTTTTAATAGTATTTTTAGCTCTTCCTTTGATCCTGGAGGTAGGATTTCCATTTTTCTCTTAATGGACTCAGTGTCTGGTAAAATCATTCTTAATGGGGTAAGTTTCTTGGACTCCCTCCTCCTCTTGATTTGCTCCGCTATTTTCTGGAGTTCTTCTAAATCATATTCCCAGTTCTCTTGTTCTGGTTCTGGTTCTATTTTATTTTCCTTGTCGTTTTCAAAAACATCATCCTCCAATTCTAGATTGTAGAAATTTAATTCTGCGTATTTTGCAAGTGAACTCTCCTTATCCCAACAGTTTCGTAACTATTCCCCGTACACTTCTGATTCTGTCATATTTGTTTTTATGGTTGCTTTTTCGGGTAATACTACTCTACTTTCGGGGATCTCATCGTAGATGTTTTCTACTCTTTTGAATGTACAGTATTCACTTTTAGGTTCGACCCTTATTGGTACACAGCTATGTTTTATTTTTTCTTCAATCACCCCTTCAACGTCTGTTTTTTCAATTGCGTGGTGTCCATAGGCGTAACTTGTAACTCCATCTTCAAGTAAGTATCTTTTGTCATCAAAACAGCTAAGAGTAACTTTCTTCAATTCGTAAGTTCCAATTGTGTGCTTTACGCTTCTGATTGTATTCATATTATGTCTCATCCTACCTTTCGTATTAATTACATTCTTAAAGTTCTCGTGAGTGAGCGTGTTTCTGATGACATACTTTTTAACTCCTTTAGCAGTCATTCCACCTCCACCGTTTTCCTTTACATAGGAATACATTTTTGACCTCAACCCAACAAACTCAATTATAGGTACTCCTTCAGCTTCATCCTTAAACTTACCTATAACCTTCTTGTTGTGAGTTGAGTAGTATGGAGAATCTTTTGGGTAATCCGAATTATCCCAACAGTTTTGCTTTTCGCCAATTCTCTTAAAGTCCTCATAAACATTATCCGTCTTCAGTTCATACATTAGACTGTCAGTATCAGTGAACAGTAGCCTTGAATTATTATCGTACTCCTTCTTGATGGTGTTGAAGTGAAAATCATACATTAAAGTCTTAGATAAGTCTAAGATGCTCATTCCTACGTAACACGGCTTATTCAGCGTTAGCACTTCTTTCATCCTCTTTACCACTATAAGATTCTCATTCATGATTCGATGTGACTGGAAGCAAGGTGATGCTGTCAGTTTTAGGAGGTCGTCTTTGGAGGACACTAATTTCACATCAACCCTTTTTCTAAGATTCTCCATAGTCTTTCCGTAGATCGAGTTGTTCATTAACTTGAAGAAGTTCTTTTCGAACGTGTTACGGGCTGCAAACCTTTTCTTCGTATTGAAGTCTATATAGTCCTTTAGCCAGGGAGACTGCTTGAATGTAACCGCTCTATGAACCTTTGTGAGTTTCATCCCAAGGTCTGTGTACAGTTTCAGATTACGTACATGTAAGACGTACTTCTTCCTGGGACCTAGTGAAGTCACTAGTTTTCTTACTCCTCCAATTGTCAGTTGGAATTTCTCAGCAATACTCTTCGCATAATCTGACAACATAGAAGCACTGATTTCCTTACTCTCCGGTGCTAGAGGATAGCCGTTATGTAGGTCATGAAGTTCTTGTGGATATTCCAGGTCAACCTCCAAAACCATTCCCCTTCCGCTGTCTCCCAAGTAATCCTCTAGATTCGTACCGTCAAATTCCTTAACCCACTCGAACTCTCCATTAGGTAGTGGTTGTGACATTGCCCAGCCATATAAATTATTAGCGTCGAGGTACATTAGGTACTTGTTCTCAGACGACTCATCGTACGTCTCCATGTACTTATTATTAGCTGCTGAGTGTCTATGAGCAATATAACTTGTACCACCTCTCATACCCTTTTCGAAGAACTGGAACATATCCATATCACTTACGAGTTCTATTTCTTCAACTGACTTTTTCAGGAAAGCGTCCCAACTCAGACTAGGTGCTGACACGTAATGTGCGGGGTCAAGTTCATAACTTTCCAGACATGTTCTCCTGAAGTTTTCGAACACATCGGCCAGCAGAAGAACGTCAGTCTCCAAGTAGAGGTCGTGGTAGTCTCTCATGGTTTTCATCTTGAAGTGATCCCATACTTTCTGAGCTCTCTGGTAATCTTCCTCCTTCACCTCTGACTCATACAGTGACGAGTAGAACTTATCCTTGCTCGGAAGACCTTCTGTATTGAGTTTGCTAATATCATCTAGGAACTCATATGGGAACACTCCTTTTTGTGTTACTAGATTGAAGTCCTCACCCTTCCACCTCTTACCTACTATCCTGAAGTCCTCAGGTGAAAGGTTACTCACCAGTGCTTCCAGTGAAGAAGCCATGAACTGTATAGAGTCTATGAAGACCAGATTTTTACCCAGTGAGAATGAGATGTATTTTTCCATATTATTTGGGATCACATTAACATCCATCTTAAACTTACCAATTTCCTGCATAATCAGATGACTATCATAACCTCTCAGGTTGTGGAAGACCACAGGTACTTTCCATGTAATTCTGTACTTATACTACTTAAGGTTGCATATATTGTGAGCAGCTCCGCGGTACTTGCCTGTCACATGGTCATGGTCTCTCACACGGTCCTCACATAGATCGTAACCACATATGTGGCAGTTTCTTGTAACCAGGAATTCTGCTTCCTCTTTAGGTGTAATTACCATTTTCTTCCTGAATATTTTGTCAGTCATTTCCCTACATCTGAAGGACTCTTTTACTACCGTCTTTAGGAAGACCAATGCAGCGTCACTTCCAACGAAACTCTTACACTCACCGGAGTACTTATCATCATAGTGGCAGACTGTTTTCAAACCAAAACTACAAGCCTTGTGTGTCTGGTAAAGGTCTGTACTACTTTCTTCCTCAGGGTTCTCTGACTTCTCTTTTCTCTCCTCTGGTACTAGTATGGACTCAAAATCAGCGTATATCACAAACGGCACAGGCATTGAGTTCCTATGATTTTTGAACTTGATTTTTGTCCCTTCCTTGGGAAGCTTTACAGCCTGAGTTCCATTTACCTCCAGACATGTTTCCTTATGCTTCTCCAGTACCTTCTCGCTAACGCAACTGTGAAGACAGTGTAGACAGAAGTGCTGCTTATGTGCATGTTTACTTACACTGAAGAGCATCCTGTTTACATCCTTTATGAGCACATAATGGTTGTTACCTTCACCATCACCTAGGAGTAGAAGTTCCATATGATCCTCGTATTTAGCCTTGGAGTTTCTTATAGGGTAGAACTGTTTCTTACCCTTATAACCAAACACAGATATGCTGATACTGTTTTTCCTCTCAATTCTATCAATGTCACTTATCTTCACGGGGAAGTCTATACCGTCATAGTCCAGGTTCGTTATGAATTCCCTATCTTTTTGTGTGATAGTGGTTGCTCTTCTGGCCTTAGGATTCAGATGTCTCACATGACTCCACAGGAAACACAGGTTGTCATTGTTCTTCATATTGATGAGCCCACACATTGAATTACTAATGTCCTTAGGAAGTTCCATGTATGAACTACCCTTTAACGGTTTATACATTGAGATGTTTACGTAATGACTCTAAATATTGAGTATAATCCAGTTTGAACCTAAGTTTTGGAAGGTTTCAATTCTAGATAATATTGTCAGTTGGTTTTGAGCAGCTGTACTTTCAATATCCTCAAAGTTAGTCGCAGTACCAGTCTTAGATTTGAAGTAGACTGAGTCCTTCTTGGTTTTCCCGTCACCAATTTCCTTTGACATTCTCACCTTCAGAGTCTCTGTGTACTTCAACCCACCCATTCTCTTCAACTCATTCACAAGTATTCCTCTCACTACCTGTCTACTTGCAGTCATCTGGTCCAGAGGGTCCTTATAATGAAGAGTTATCGAGTAAGTCACAGGGGCTCCATTTGCGGCTGTTTCAATTTTCCTATGGAATGGCTTTTCAAGGTCTGTTCCAAATGGATCGATTTCGTGTTCCTCTGGTGTAACCACTATAGGCTGCTCCTTGGCTTCCCTCGACACCCTTACAGGCTTACGGACCTTAGGAGGAGACACTGGTTTCCTAGTCCTAAGGTTTCGGTACAGGTCTTTCCTTAAGAAGCTTAGTCCTGTGTTTCGGCACAGGTCTTTCCCTAGGAAGTACCGTTCTAGGCTTAGGTATCGGTCTCCATGGAGCTACACCATTAGGTACCTCAGGAGCTTTCCTCACAGGTCTCTTATTAAGATCCACGTGAATTGTAAACTTACCAGGACCTGTTAGAGTTATGACACTATCGGCAGGCACTGAGAGTTTTACCTTCCTCTGATTCAGGAATCTTTCGGCTACAGTTTACTTTCTGACCTTAACATCGGTCTTTGCCTTTGGTGGTCTACCTCTCTTCTTTGGCACCTTCACTTCAGCATCAGCCTTTGCCTTTGGTGGTCTGCCTCTCTTCTTTGGCACCTTCACTTCAGCATCAACCTTTGCCTTTGGTGGTCTGCCTCTGGGACGCTTTACCTTAGGATTCCTTTCGTTTTCGATTCTCTTAATTTCCTCATTAACAAGAACATCGTCTGTACGCCATCTACCCCC